CAGGTCGGCGAAGTCGTTGAAGCGGCGCTCTAACTGGTAGTCCGGTCGGCCGCTGGACGCGGTCTTGGTCGTCTTGAGCGTCGGGATGCGCGACGTATTGCGCTCCAGGAACACATCCAACACGTAGTACACCACGCCGTCGCGCTCCGTGGTGTGATTGATCTCGACGCGGTCGATCTTGGACAGGAACGAGAGTGGCTCCGATACCTTGGACGACAAAGTGGGTGTGATGGTCACGGGCGACAGCGGCTGCAGGTGGGGCACCACCGTCGTGGTCATCGGAGCGTCGGTTACGGTGATGCTAGATGCGGAGGACATGTCGAGTGGGGTATGTGTTTTGATGGTTGAGTGGCTCGACAAGCTTGAGTAGCGAACTGCTGCTGGCAGACCTACGCGTGAGACGGAAAAATGACAAGTGAGCCAAGTCGGTGGTCGGCTTGGGTCGCATTTTGCGTGTGTCTATCGGTGGTGAAGGTCACGTTTGCTGTCCTCCCCGCCCCGTCTCGGGCGCTCTACTTGGCAAGGGCGGACAACCGTGAAGTTACCCATCACAGCCAGCCAATCCGTACCCGCTCGTCTTCAACATCGCGCGTTCATTGGCTGAGGTGACAGCCCAAGCACCAAAGTGTGCTACTCTACTCTGCGAGCGTACTGTGACTCAGATCACCGCAGTACATGTACCTCCGCAATAATCTCGGCGAGCACACAACCGGACTGCGAAGACGGCCAATCGCCTGGCATTGAATTGGAGCAGCGAGTTGGTGACCGTGACGCTACAGCCGTGGCAGGCCTTGTTCTGCTTGGTGTCACAGTCGCTGTCAACTCGTGATCCCGCATCTGTATCTGCTGCCGGTGCCACTTCTCAGCGAACGAACGGACCGCTGCTCGACGCTCTGCGCAGATGATGCGAGACGAATTGCCGTTGGTACGTAACGAGCCGAAGCGGAATTATATCTCTTTCATCTCGATACAGCTGCCTCCTCAACAGCCAAGTCGAGGTGCCCCACAAGCGGTCTAGTAGTGATTCTGAGTCTCGCGCCCTTCGGAACCCGATATGCCAAAGCGCACGAGTCTCGGAAATGGTGATGACAGTGCCAGGCGAGGCGTGCAAATGTTGGATTCGCCTTGCTTTCGCTTTTTCGGATTTTTCATAACGGCGACGCCAGCTCGGAAGATACTGCCCGCCTCACGCGAAGACACACCTATCAATCAGTGTTCTGCATCGTCAGGCGATCTTCTAGGTACTATACAGCATTTTACTTTGTAAAACACGTAGGGTTTAAATGTGACGAGGCACTGCGCCGTTCAGGTAAGATGACGCGCACTTTACCAAAGACAAATTCAATTGGTGCTCGCCCAGAAATCATTAGGCATTTGTGATGCAATGTTGGTAGGCGAGAAAATAATGTAAATGCGATAATAAAACTCTAGTTTTTTCGGAAGTTTTACAGTTAGTTTTTTTTCGGAAGCATTCAATTTTTGTGTAAAACTGAAGTTCAGTTTTACGTGAGCTGCTTGAGCAAGCGCCCCGTCACAGGGGCTGCGCTTTTATACAAAACCCCAAAGTCGCAAGATC